ATTTTTGAGCATCCTCCCCAGGCCCAGGGCTTCCAGAGGGAGAGAAGGGGCCACACAGGGGGACTCTGGCCTCTCCATCTACTCTTGCCCACGCTTGGGGCCTGGAGACCCTGAAGCTGGGCAGGCATGTCCTTCAGGGCTTCCTGGGGTCTCTAAGGAGGCCTCATTGGGAAGCTCTTTACCAGAAGCCCAGCTCCTGAGCCTCAGCAAGGAGACAGCAGGACGCGGAGAGAGGATTCTGACTCATTTACAGCCTGGCTCTGCTACCTTGAGCAAAGAGCCACACCTTTCTGAGCCTCAGTTTCCCCATCTGTCGAGTGGGGACACAAGTAGCTCTTGAGATCATAGAAGTTAATAGGAACAAAAATGGTTTGCAAGCTGTAATGACTGATGTGAGCTAATGATGGTCCCTTTGCCCATTGTGGGGGGCCCCAGGTGGGCCGGATTCCTGGAGGTAGGTCTGACCGGACAGCCCAGATGGTCAAGCCTGGAGCCACGGGGGGCAGGTCAGCCCACAGTGTTCTCAGGCCTCATTTCATTCTATCCCCAGGGCCCCCGGGACAGACGGGACCACCAGGGCCTGCAGGTCCCCCAGGCTCCAAAGGTGACCGGGGCCAGGCAGGAGAGAAGGGCCCAGCGGGTCCTCCCGGTAAGGACACCCCCCCCACACGCCCCGACCCAACTCTGTCCACTGGGGGAAGGGGACTGGGGTTTCTCCCCTGTCTGAGCATGCAAGACATCCCAGACACCCTCTTTCTTGCTGGGGCTAATGACTGCCATCCTGGGGGGCTCCAGGCTCACTTCTTCCCACTGCCACCCTTACGGCAGCCTCACCCCAAGCACCTTAGGGCTCCATCTCGCCCCGGGCTGTGGGAAGAGAAGGCTTCTGGAGTTGTGGGCACAGGTGTTCTGGGGGGGGGTGGTGATCCTGGGGGCAGGGGGTTGTGCTCAGCCATGTAAACAACACGTCCAGAGACCACCCAGCTCCTCCTGGGCTCTGTCAGGGCAGGTACAGGGCTGGCCCAGGCTGGCTGCCACCCTCGGCGCCTCTTCCCCAGAGCTGAGGTCCCTGGAGCGGGCAGAGGGCATCTGGCCGGAGTCCCCACTGGTTCTGTGGTGCCTGCCTCCCTTACCTCCCATCCAGCTGCCCCGGGTCCCCTGTGCACTGGGCTGGGAAGGGGAAGTCACGTCATTAGCTCCCGGAAGAGCCCTCCAGGGTGCTCCTGGGCCTGGAGGCCACCACCGGCCCCCGCCAGCCCATCCCCTTGAGGGTCTGCTTCTCAGCTCTGTTACCTCAGCCACGAGGCCCGGCCCTCCTGTGACTCCCCTCCTCCCTACTGCAGGCCTCTTGGGGCCACCAGGGCCCCGTGGGCTTCCTGGAGAGATGGGGCGCCCCGGCCCCCCCGGCCCCCCCGGCCCAGCAGGCAGCCCAGGCCTCACTCCACACGGCCCCCAAGGCGTCCTCTACTCCCTGCAGCCGCCGACAGACAAGGACAGTGAGTGGCATGCCTGAGGGGTGGGGCGGGAGGGCGGGCCTGAGCCTGTCTTCAGGGGGACCAGCCCTCCCCAGAGGACCCCAGGAAGCGAGCGGACTGTCAGTGAGGGGAGCCTTGGCTCTGCCAAGTGGGGGGCGGGGTCGCCTGGGGGATACTGATGCAGGGTGGGGCGGCAACCCGGGCTCAGCTCCTGCCCCTGGGGTCTGACCCCCACGGGTCACTCCGCTCTCTGGCCTGGCCTCGGGTCATCCGTTACCCCATGTCCTCTCCACAAATCGCCTCACTGTAGACCACTGGACATGTGTTGATGGATCACCTACGACGTGTGGGACTCTGTTTTTACCCGCCCGCCTCGTACAGCCGTGAGCAAAACAGCCTCCTGCCTGCAGAGGCTACAGTCTAGCGCGAGAGGGCGCCTCTGAGCACACACACAGCCGCCCCAGCGCGCGGGGAGGGCGGTTCCAGGGAGGCCCCGAGGAAGGGGGTGGGGCTGGGGCCGGCAGCCCACGGCGGGCATCGTTTCGGTTAAGGGCCCTGGGGAGTGGGAAGGGTTTTAAGAAGCTGGATTGACTTGAAATTCTGAATGGGTGACAACCCAGGGACCGCTTTGTCGGCTGTCCGAGAAACCCAAGCCCCTCCTCCTGGTGCTTCTGCCCCCTCCGCCCCGCGGCAGCATAGCCCTCCCCTGAGCGTTAAGACCTGTGTCCCGCTCTGAGCCTCAGTTTCCCCATCCGTAGAGGAGGGGTGGTAATACATCCTGATGGAGTTGCTCTGGGGGTGAAAAAACACAGCCCCCAGCCATGAGGGAAGGGGCTTATTCCCAAGGGGACTGAGGGGCCTGGGCTGCCCTCAGTGGGTACAGGGGCAGGAGAAAGTGTTAACTCCCTGACGACCCAACCGCCTCACCCTCACGGTGGGCTCAGTGGTGCCCCCTAGTGGGGAGAATGGATGATGCGTGTAAAGTGACTTGGGAGTCTAAGGGCTCAGCAGCTGGCATCCCTGGGCCAGGAGAGCTGCAGCCTGCCCTGGCCTGGGTGCGATGCCCTGCACCTGGCACTGCCCGCCTGCCACGTCTAGTGCTGGGAGCCCTCCTCAGACAGGACCCTCCTTCCCCAGCCCTGGGGCCCTCGAGGGAGGGCAGCTTTCCTGGAAGACCCAGGTGTGAACGTTTGGGGACAGTGGGGGGTGCCCCAGTGGGGGCACCTGACTGGCCAGGACTGAGCACCTGTAGGAGGCCACCCGCCATGAGGCCTATGGAAGGGCTCTCCAGGCTTCCATGAGTGGAGGGAGAGGCAGAGGCAGCCACCCCCATCCAGACGTTTCCAAGCCTGGCTGTCTGGTCCTGGCTCTGAGAATAGGGCAGGGTGAAGTCACACAGGGCTCACCCTGGAGAGACCCAGGCCATTGGACAGACTCCACCCGGCTCTGGGGCCCTGATGGAGGGAGCCCAGGGCCCTGCAGCTCAGAGGGGTGGGCAAGGAGGGCTTCCTGGAGGAGGCCCCACAGGAGTGAGCTAGCCAGGTACGTCAGGATGGGTATGTGGGGTGGACCCTGGAAGA